GGTACATTACCCTAACTGGTTGTTAAATGTGACCTCAATCCCGTCCAGGTTGCTTGCAGAAGCATACTCGGCAAGGGCATGCTAGTACTCGGCAGATCACTTGAAAGCCTCTACCGCTTCGGCCACCCACCTTTCAGCCTCAGACGCCCACCTGCTTGCCTACCTCGATTGCTCATTCCTCAGCCTGCTTCGCCCTCCGGTTGGACTCTATGGAGAGGCTGTCAAGATAAGCCCTCTCCTCCTCAGATGTCTTCAATGCCTCCTACAGCTTGTCAAGGTGAGCCTTTGCAGCCTTCAGGTCATCCTCCAGGGTCACTCGGAGCTGCTGCTTGTCCTTGTGGGCAGCCCTAAACTTGTCCCGGCTACTCTCAGCAGTGGCAACCTTCACTTGGAGCTTCTCATTAATCTTCTCCAAGCGCTCCAAGCGCTCCAAGGTGAGGCCCATTCGATCTCCTAGGTCGATAAAGTGGCAGTGCAGACCTGCATCAAGTGCCATCAGTAATGCCACAATAGAAAGGGGGGGGGGGATCACGAAGAAAAAAGGGCAAGGAACGTACCTTGGCCACGTGATAGAGCCCCTTGTTGTAAACGAATTAGGGGTCGCTCTGCATCATCTCGAAGTGATCCCTCGGTAGAATCGCCCCTTCCATCAAGGCCTTCCCGACCCCCTTCTCTGTAATAGAATCCCCCTCATGGATGGACCATTGGGGGCAGAAAACTTTCGTGGGCTGCCCAGTCTCTTCAGAAACTCCTTGCAAGGAAGTGGGGGCAGATGCGGTTCCCCCCGGGGTGCCCCTTTGTAGGGGGCTTCTTCAGCATAGCACCCCCGACAGGGCGCTCTTGATGAGCCACCTTCGTTGGCGGCTGTCCCTTTGGTGTCCCCTCAACTGGCTTCTTCTTCCCGACCTCGGCCGTAGGAACCGGCCTCGTCTGACCGACTTTGATCCCTTCCGTGGGCCTCTTCACACGATCTACCGACCTTTTGTCGCCTTTTGCTATTGGCTTCTTTTTGTCTTCGGTCGCTAGCCTCTTGCCCTTGTCCCCTCAGTTGACAGGGACTTGCTGTGCGTTTCCCCTCAATGGAGGGGCGGGAACCCGATCCTTCCTTACAGGCTTCTCCTTGATCGGGCCCTTTGGCCTTCTTCTGGGCCTGAGCCCTCTGCTTGGCCTGTGCCTTCTCTACCAAGAGCTTCTTGGCATCCATGGGTACCTCTGCAAATAAACAAGAAGTCGTCAGTACAGCAAACCAAAGACAAAGGGAATGTGTTAAAAAAAAACTACAACACCTCTCCTACCGAGGGGAGTAGGACTGAGCCCCGTGAACACCAGCGGGAGCTCCTCCTCCACCAAGGGAAGGGCTCGGACTCTCTCTAGCACGAGTAGGTAAGCTAGATCAGCAGCCTCCTCATCCCGAAGCAGGGGGCACTCTTCTCCACCGTTAGTAAAGCCTCTCCCCATCCTGACTTGAAAGACCAACCCTTTGGGCAAGATAGGAAGAAGAACTTACTCTTCCAATTGTGAATGGACAAAGGGTTATCTATGTTAGTCCTACGGGGTTGGAAATAGTACATATCGGCCTTAGAAGTATGCTTCCTTGGCATGAACATAGCTTGGAAGAGCTTCGGCGTCAGCTACACCCCTTGAAGCCGAGCCACTACCAGCATGGTGACCATGGTTCTAAAAGCATTGGGTATTAATTGGCTGAGGGTGATCCCATACCACCTTAATAACTCAGAGATCACAGGGTGAAGGAAGTGTTGGTAGACGCAGATCTCCCCCTCCTCGGGAGTCTACGGCCGGTCACCTACATCGGGCACCGTAATGGTGTAAGTCCGAGGTATGAAGTACTGCCTAGCCAGGGACATAATTTGATTCATGTCTAGAGAACTATCGAACTCCGAATGTGGAAGACTAGCCCTGGCCGCCCCAAGGGCAGCACTTTCGGCCACCATCCTTGGGGCAAGATTTGGGGTCCCCTCCCCCTCAGCTTAGGGGGACCCTTTTGACTCCCTCGGCGTCGCTGACGCGATGCTCTCACAGGGAGGGTCACTGCCTTGACGGCTGCCCTCGGCACCCCCAGAGGCTATCCTCTCCTTTAGCACCATCACCTCCTACTGAGGGGGGACGACTACCAAGGAACCTAGGGAAGAAGGGGATGAAGTCGAAGGAGAACTCCCTTCCGAGTCAATTGGAAGCTCACAACACTCCAGGCCAGAATCAGAATGAGACATGGTGAAAAGAATTACCTAAAGATGAAGGGTAGGAGGAAGATGAGGTGTGTTGGAAAATCGAAGGTCTGGGAGCAGTGGTTCACTCGAATGCAAGGTTGCCTAGAGACAAATGGTGGAGAAAAATCGGCACTAAGGCACCTATTTAAAGAAGAATGAACGGCCCAGATCTTGCCGAATCCAACAGCCAAGAAACCTCTGCTTCCACAACCCAACCACGGTGTGCCACTCGGTGCCCAACCTCGAAAGACGAAAGGACGCCCAAGCAACGACTCAGATCGCGAAAAATCCAATGGCCGCGAGGACCTCCGCATCAGCAACCCAAATGCGTCGTATCCCTAGATTCGCGCCCTGGGAAGATGAAACGACATCTCAAGCGAACCAATGGACCCGGTCGCCATGACCTGTGGGTTCGAGCCCTTTAACCCGACGAATGCGCACATCAACCGGGAGTCTCACCTGGTTTTCGAATGCATGTTGGGCATGGTCCCCATGCGCCAACCTAGAACGCCAATGCCGCATGCACCTTCGAGCCATTAGTACAAGAGGGCATGCGCTCGGCTCTCCTGAGGCCTTGCCGCTTGACCTTCCTAGAAGGCCGAAGCGTGCCAACAACCTTGTCCCCTGCTTGTGAAAGACGAATTGAATGAAG